ATATATATATATATATATATATATATATATATATATATATATATATATATATATATATATATATATATATATATATATATATATATATATATATTATAAGGGGTGGAACCAGGATTAAAATATAGGTGGGGCTAAGTAAAATTTTGGGCTTCGGGGCAGCGGCCCGAAAAAAAAAATAGGTTCAAAGACATTGCAAAAATAAGTTTATATTGATAGTTTTTTTATTTTATTAAAATGGCATTTGTATTATAATTTTATCATAGTTTAAGCATAATAAAAAAATCTAAATTAATCCGAATTAAATAATGTATCATACTTAATATTTTGGGGATTCACGGCATCGTCTCATATTATATTTTAGAAAAAAATTCAAAAATAAGTAAATATTCATATTTTTTTATTTTAAAATAATACAAGTTTTAACCCATTTCATTTTATATTTTTATATGAAATATGAAATATATATATATATATATGACTTGGGTTAATTTAAAAAAATAAAGTCAACGTCAAGAAATAGCAAAGAGGCCCAAGACTATATTGAATCGTAGACGTTAAGAGAAGGCCGAAAAGAAGCTTCCATGAAATATCATTGCATGAAATTATATTAACTATTTATTATTACAAGTACCCCTACAATATGTCCAAATTGCATTTTGGTTTGTTTGGTGACGAGTGACGACTAAGTCAAAGTATCAAAATAAATTACAAATTAATTAATTAATTATGATGCACAGAGTTTTAAAAAATGGATGGATGCTTCCTCGATAATGTCAGTGCCAAGAACATGACAAGTGGACCACTTCATCGCCACCTTCTTCGGAATTGTATTTTTTTTTCTTTTATTTAACCGACATATAATAATTCTATCTTTGTCGTTAGTACTTGATACTGTGCAAATACCCGCAACTAATTTATGCTGATTAAAATCTGTATCCAGTATCCACACTAATGAAACTAATAAATAGCATGAAGTGTAGACAAAATTAAATTAATCAACCCAATTGAATCGCGATGAACTTATTATAAAATTCAAAATATAAAATTGTAGTCTAATTGAGCTTTTCGAATTAACTTCATATAAAAAAATATATCATTAAATGGCAGTATCAACCATTTATTCTTATTCGGAGCGGAATTGAAACATAATTTCTCATTTCCGCCAAATTTATCCGACAATTAGAAAATTCAAAATTTTCGATTTTGTCTGTTTTTTATTCATTTTGTGGGTATAAAAGAGTTGGAATATTATATCAGGAAGTTCCAGTTTGATTTTATTTTATATTTCAAAAATTAATATCCATAGTATCAATAATATAATATATGGTATATTATAAGTGAATACAAAATTATAATTCCCAAATTAATATTTTCGATTTTGGAACAATTTTTTTTTTCTCATTATAATACCGAAATCTTGATTTTTCATTTCTCAACCCTCTCGTGAAAACATGATCAGAGGAAATGCACAAATATATAAAGTATAAATTACAACCACTCCATGAGATATGGTCAATTTATGAAGAAAAAAACCCCTCTTGTTTGGATAATTACATATACTCCTTTCAACTATGAATATTCTTACACCTCCCCTTATGGTGTTAAATTCAACATAATCATCTAGATTTCGTGGAATATGCTCTAGTTTGTACTCGTTTTGTAAAATACAATTTCTGATGCACCACAATCTGATATATACAAGCCAAAAAACACATATTATCATCATCTTGCTTCAAAATGTGGAGCTCGAATAAAGAGTGCTACATTTGCTTGAATACGTCATGTATTTATTAAGGATACATATAAATGATATACATAATACATATGAGTACACTTATGTTACAATAATAAGTAAATTAGTTAAACTTAGCTGTTATATATATCCTAAAAAAAATCTAAAAAAATCTCAAACTTGAAAATGCTCAAGCTGAACATCCTTAGACTTGAGAGGAACATACTCTCCAAGATAACCTCCTAGATGATCCGCCAAAGATGACTTATCGATATTTTCGTGATGATAAGATTTGCAAACGAAGTAAATAATTGTCTGCATAATAAGTCCGAATAACATCGTAATCGACGATAAAACCAAGCAAAGAATCCCAATTCCAACCCTTCTCCCAATCCCCTCTTCATTAGTACCTACCACAACATAAACTTTGAAAATAAGCTGAATTTCAATGAAGAAAAGGCCCATAACAAAAAATAGTGCAAAACAAACTCCCATCTTTCCCTTGATCAAAGCGTGGCTCCTCGCCATTGCATTTAGTCCGTAACTCTCTTCCAACACGGAAACCACACTAGCCAAATGCCATATTACGGTTATGTAAAAGAATCCAATCAAGTACGAGACCGCGTACAAGGTAAGAAAAAGCGGGCCCGAAAATGAAACCGGGCCGAGTATCAATAGTACTAGTATCGAAACAACGTTGTATGCGGAAAAGATAATGAAGCTCCATACGAAAGTCACCACAAGCCTCTTACAAACCTTGGGAACCACGGTCATAACCTTTTTTAAGGTTATTCGTTTCGCGGTGTAAATGCATGCGACCGTGTAGACGACCGCAGAGGTTGAAAGGAGAGAGAGAATCACGAAGAAGATGAAGTATCCGATTTTGAACAAAAAGAAGGCCGTCCATTCCGAGCATAGAACGTCGGAGATTTTTTTGTGGGACCCGGTTCTTTGAGGAGTTTCGTCGAGCATGATTTTGGAGAAGAGGAGCTCCGAAATTTGGATGTGGGCTAAGTAGATGAAAGAGAGAGGGAGAATTAGAAATAGTGTGATCTTGGTGAAGATTATTTTCCATGATGAAACGATGTCGTACGACTCTTGTATGATGCCGAAGAAGCCAAGGAATTGGATTTCTTCTTCTTCTCTATTCATGGTGGTTTATCATTTCTTGATCCAATTATGTTGCCATTTAATGATTGTTGTTTTTAAAGAGAATATGGAAAGCTTGTAGTTTCGAATTTAGTATAATATAGAATTATTTATTTAGTTTTTTTTAATATCTCAATTAGTCATTTACTTTATATTAAACATTCAACTAAACACAATTTTGAAAATGGTAAATTTCATTTCCCCTATTTTACTGTGGCTCGATATCACTTTATCCCTTTCTACTTTCGATTACATCGATTTGCCTTCATGCACTTGAAAAATTGTCTCAACATGGCCCTCACTGTTAATTGCCGCCAGACATTTGACCTTATACTGTTTGATCAAAACTCTGAAATTACAAAAACGCCACCTCTCCCAGTTTAAATAATTATTAAAAAAAATAAGACAACGAGTAAACATAATCCACGACGACAACCACAATTTATTTATTTATTTATATTATTTTTTTGATAAATATTTAAACTAGGAGGGGTGACTTTTTTGTAATTTGCAGACTTAGATCAAACGAAGTTAACGTCAAAGATCTGAAAACAAACGGCGATGACCGCTTTCAAATACATAAGGGCAAATCGATGCAATCGAAAATAGAATGAGATAAAATAATATCAAGCCAGAATAAAGGGCATAAGTGGAATTTACCGTTTTGAAAATCACCATATGTTTTTGGACTATGATCATGCTCGGCGTCTCATTTGGCACATCCAATTTCATAATGCAAATTTTCGTGCCCACAAAATGTTATAAAAATTAAACGTGATGGTAACTACGAATGAATGTAATAACACGACTTCTTCTAACAATAGAAGTTCATCATGTCCACTCATTCATTATGTTGTGAATTTGACTTTTAGATCTTGCATTTATTTATTGGTCCCTAGAATGTGAAATAAAAATTGCATCTTGCTTTGTTTGGTGGTGACTCGTCAAAATATCAAAATAAATTTCCAGTACTATGATGCCATAGAGTTATAAGAAATGAAACTAATTGAGTTGACTAATTTTATTCTTATTTATATTATTTGTTTTTTTTTTTTTTTTTTTTAAGATAAAGTGGAATTTTTTATTAGGCTATATCAGCCAGCTTTTAAGAAACACACCAGTCTTCTAACGATACATGGTTTGTAGAAATAGCTCAAACATGAGGGAGGCGATTACCTTGTCTCTTAACAAATGTAAATGCGCAAGAATTTAATTAAATAACTAGCCAAGTGTAAGCAGTCTTCATTATATATAGGGCTCTTTTGCAGTCCCTTTCTAGAATTATGGAACCCCAACCTTTTGACACCAATATAGACGGAGCTTGTTGAGCCGCTCGAGCTTCGCTTCTACAACCATGGACTTTCTCAACCCTCCACCAAATGCATTCACCCTTCCAATCTCGCGCCACCAGAGCCAGCATAAAGAAGTCCTTGTCGATGGGAAACGAAGCGTCGAAATTGACCTTCACATGTCCTTCATTTGGTGTGATCCATGTGGTTTGGTAGCATGGTGTAAGAGCAATGTTTTTTTTTTTTTTTATCGGTAAATGTGAAATATATAGATCAAAACGGACTTTACAAATACGCTGGGCATACCCAGGCAATGTAATCAAAAAATATATATCAATGCCTATACATGAACAAGACCCCGCAGGTCAAATGCAACATAAAGATCAAAAAACAATCAGGGATGCACGATTTGCAACGCTGATTGCGGAAACAAGGCAAAAACCGTCTTGTAAACGAGTATCTTGATCTTAAGCACCATCGCAGCAATCCTAGGCGTCTCGTTCTCAAAAATTTTCCGGTTGCGAGCACTCCAAATCTGATAAACGGTGCAAGCAAGGGCCATCTTCTTCGCTTTTTGCCTCCAACATGAGCCACGAGCCTCCTTCTTCAGCCATTTCAAAGCACTCTTGAGCGTAGTTGCAGCCCGAGGGAAGCCAATCCATTCCCGAATAATGCTCCAAATGTTGTAAGTAAACGTGCATCCGAAAAACAAATGCACCACAGTTTCAGGCTCCGTACAAAAAATGCACAACTTTTCAACCTCCACGTGCTTGATTCGATTCCTGGTCTTGAGCCTGATTCGTAGATTAGCTAGGTGGAAAGATTTAAGGTAAGATTTACTCCGGCTAACCAAATCTTGAGCGTTATCACTTGCAAGAATTTTCGGGGGGTCAGCTAAAATTTTACGGGGTTCGAGGGTAGAGCTCCCGAATTTTTAAGAGTTTTTTCTTCGAAAATATAAACAAAACAAATAGAAATTTGTATATTTTAATTAAATTATATAAATTAAATTGCATATTACAAATCTATTGGGTGGGCTAATTAAATCGGTTTAGGATTAAAATAGCATATGAAAGAGCTAACTAAATATGATTAGCATTAAAATATTGCATCAAAAATATAAACCAAGGTGGGTTGAATCCGCCCCTGCTTGCCACCCCATGTACTTCTCCATTCCGCAGCTCCCAAGCTTGCCAATTTACTACAACCAGTGCCGGTCCGGAGTATTTGGAGGTCCTGGAGAAAAGAAAAAAATGTGCCTTTAGTTAAAAAGAAAAAAATTAAATTTACTTTTTCTTTCAAAGAAAATAATAATTAACCTACAATGATGCTAAATAAAAATTTAAAAATCTATATTTTTTCTCTACCAAATATTTAATTTTATTATTATCATTCAATTTACAAAAAAAAAAAAGAAAATAGCACCAATATTCATCTTGTAATGCACAACTATATATAAAGGGCGGACAAAACAATCTATATATTAAGGGCAAAAAATATTTTCTAAATACACAAAAATATAAAACTGAAAAGAATACCCAATATTCATCTTTGTATTGCACAACTATATACTTTAAGAGCATAAAATATGTTATAACTTCTATCTACACAAAATATAGAATCCCAATGAGAAATAATGGTGAAATTATCGTAACAAATGAATTTTGTTCAAATACTTTTATCCTCCATTTTTACATTGATAATAAATTATATAATAAACAATTAGAATACATAAGAATATAAAGTACATATTTTTTGTTTTTTGAGCAAAAATATACATATTAAATCTACAAATTAAAATTATTGACTTATTGTGATCCCAATAACTGGTAATATGGTAATTTGACATTTAATTAAGAGTAGTGGTGTGACATAAGAGAGAGAGTAAAGGCGGTGGGGCCTCGTGAGACTCTTCAAGACGTGAGAGCATGTACAATGGAATAGCTAAAAATCCCTCTCCAAAGAGTGGGGTCCACATGTCACATACTTTTTTTTCTTTACTTTATCAACTCTCTAAAAATGGGTCCCACATTTATTAATCTCCAAATTAAAATTGCTCCAATGGGTATATTTTGTTGCTCTTCAAAATGACTCTCCAAATATTAAACTATAATAAAATATTCACTATTAATATAAAAAAATACAAATTAAATTTTCAAGATTTTATATTTAATTAATAATATTAATATAATTACTTGACTTTAAAATTAGACTAATTACGTAAACAAAATTATCATTTAATTATGTTGTGATTTACGTTAGTTTATTTTTTTTTTTTAATTTTTTTTTTCTAATATATAAAAACTAATTAATAATATGAAAATTTAACAACCAACATAAAATTGACATAAATATTAATAACACAAAGGATTACAGAAGATTTGAATAACGTTGTTGGAATATCTCTCCAACTAATAGAAAACATTAATAAAAATTACGAGAAAGCTAGTAAACTAATTATTAGGCCCCGTAAACGCTGATTTATTTTTCCGTGCACGACTAATGATTTATCTTTGTTGTTCCATGATCCAAGCTTGTTGTTCAATAATCCAAAATTTACCTTCTTTTGTAGGAGTTGAATTGGGATCCATCATCATTATTTCTTTCTCAAACCGGTTTTGTTCTTGTTCTTTCATTGCTGCAATTTTCATTTGCTCGGTTTCCTTTTGAGCTTGTAGCTGTAAATTTCTTGCCTCCATTTTCGCTTGTAACTTTTGTTGTTCTATTGCATGTTTTCTATTCCCTTCTTCTTGAAACCGACTTGATGCTTCTTTTCTCATATTAGAAAACTCTTCTGCAAATAAGTCTATAGAATTAAAAAAATTCTTTTTTTTTAGGATTTTTCGCACATTTGTTACCAGGAGGACGTGCTAGACCAGTTGAAGTATTATTAGATACTCCATCTTCATCGTCAAGACTAATTGAGGTTGGAGTCCCGCTAGGTGTGGATTGCTCACTTGACGGAGTCTCAGCATTGGAAGAATCTCCAATATCATCATCATCCAAATTAATTTCTGCCCTCTTTTTTTGAGACATCCTTTTCTTCTTCTCTTGTACATTCATTGATATGATTGTACCATTTCGGTGTGTCTTTTAGAATAAGCCAACAAGTCTCCCACTTAAAAACATGATTCTCTTTCTTATAATATTATTGTTTTGTTGTTAACATCTGTAAATAAAGATTCAAATACTTTATTTAAATAACATGTAACATAATTTATGTATACTTTATATATATACAGCTATTGTAACATAATTTTATATTTACTTACATTATCTTCTGCACTTTGTCCACTTATTGGAGCCCGTATCATATTGACATATCCAGAAAATTTAGTGACGCTCAATTGAATGGTTGACCACCGATTCATTAGTCCACATGAGGGTCTACCAGGATCGTCTTTTAGAATTTTTACAAATTCCGCGCCAATTTGGTCCCACAACTTGCCTCTTGGTTGATTCGTACCAACTGTTGGATCTTCTGAAATATGTAACCATGCTTTGCATAAAGCTTCATCTTCTTTCACACTCCAGTTTGGTTGTCTGTCTCTTTGCGCGCGTCCTCCAGAACTCTTCTTACCTGATGTATTTGGAGTATGCATTTGTTGTTGCGTTGGAATCTGAGATGAACCTGCAAAAACAAAAGGATTGTATGTAAACTGAGAAAATGGTTGAAATTGCGAATTCATGGACTGAGGAGTAAATGTTTGAGAA